GGACGGATACTAGGTGAACGCTAAGTTGGATTTCGAAACAGTGACAACGCCCGTATAGGTTCTTTGCGCCGAGTCGAACTGCGGGATTCGAACTCGAGACCCAATGCAGTTTTGCGACGGTGTATCATTCACTTTATGCCACCGTTGCATATCCAACACCCCTCTCCTTAAAATCCCTGTGTGGTGGCGGCGTGCCGTCCTCCCATCCCTCCCTTGGGTTGTCTGTTTTCTTTCTTTCTTCCGTGCCCATCGCGTTCCAAGCCCACCGGCTCTTTGGCCCCGGCGCTGCCTGGGCAGGTCCCATGTGGATGGGACGCCGCGGTCGGTGGGGATGGGCAGCAGTACGTTTACGCGTTCAGCCTCGGGCTGGCGTGGGCGAACCCTGTCTTCACGGCTTGGAACCTGTTCGGCTTCTTGCTCCTCAGGGCGCTGCCAGTCTATTTCGACAAAGGAGTCGAAACGCCCACGGGGGCACGGGGCGGAGTCGCCTACACGTTGCTTCCGATTCCAAAGACCACGAAGCAAATGTGAGAGCGCAAGGCGAAGAGCAGACGGCGAGGGGGGTGAGGGTCTTTGGGGTGGGTGGGAGGGGGTGGGCGGTGGGCGGTGTGGGCGGTAGATGATGGGTATGGGGCTTGCGGAGGGCGGTTGACGGCTGATGACGGCTGGTGTGTATCGTATCGCATGTCGCTTGTCGGTTTGAACGGACAACTTCTAGGAGATGGGTAAAAAGGAGCAAAAGAGTCCCGCCCATCGTGAACACGCGGTATTGACCGCTAGTCATATAAGAAGAAAATACCACCAGAATGGCGCTGTGCCGCGCGCTACCTAGTCTACCGCACACGCTCACCGCCGTCTCCCCATGCCATGCCACGGATGTGCTACACCTGTAGCGAGAGGCCGCGCTCCACGGCCTCCGAGGCGGGAGGCGCCTCTTCTCGCGGCGACCTGACCGCAGGCCGCCCCTTTTTTGCCTCTTGGGCTCGTTGCAGGTTCGAGCGCACATTGTCTGCTATCTGGTCCGCTTGCCAGGCGTCGACCGTCTTGCTCAGCACGACGAGGGGCGACACGACGAGCATGGTGCAAGAGGCGACGAGCACCATCATCGTGGCGCGGGTAGTTGACAGGCCGCTCACGCGGTCGCAGTCCGCCACGTCGCCGTCGCAGATGTTTACCAAGATGCCCACGACAAAGCTGAGGTGAGGAAAGCGGGTAGGGGCTGAGTGGGTGCGTAGTGCGTTCCGAGAGGGGAGGGGCATCGCGGCCGGCCGTGGCGTACCAGCACGTGAGCAGCAGGTTGGACAGGCAGGACAGGTAGAGGTCGTCCGAGCGCTCAAAGGGGCGAGCCAGCGCCAGCGCGACGAGGTACACCGCAGAGACGAGCGCGGCGATCACCAAGCGCAGCACCTTGGTCTCGCCGAGGTCCGTCTGCACAAAGAGGATGAGCGCGGCCAAGAAGATCTTGCGAATCAGGTCCAGAAGCTCCCAGTACATTAGCGGCGCGCGGTAGTCACGCCACAGAAAGCTGCGAGGCGCAGGAGAGCGGGGCTCAAAGTCGAACGAGCCGGGCGGCGACGGGGCGGCCGAGGCGGGGGCGAGGGGACCGCGCCCGCAAGCACTCGCCAGCGGGGTGGGCCGCTTTGCGCGCGCTGCTGGCGAGCTTCGTAGCAGGAGAATGAAGAAGACGAGCGGCACAAGGACATAGTGGTGCGGGATGTTAGCGATGATGGTGCGGGTAAATATGCCGTCGTACATTGCGCCGTCGTACACCTGGCTATACCCGAGCGCGCCGTCGAGGCCGCTGAGCACGAGATCGTCGCAGGGGCACGGGTCGGG